GATAAACCACTGGTCAGACTTATCCAAAAGAAAAGAGAAAGGACCCAAATTAATAAAATTATGAATGAAAAGGGAGAGATCACGACTAACACCAAGGAAACAGAATCAATTTTAAGAAATTATTATCAACAACTCTGCCAATAAATTAAGCAACCTGGAAGAAATGGATGCCTTCCTGGTAACTTATAAACTACTGAGACTGAAACAGGAAGAAATTGACAACCTGAATAGGCCAATAGCCAGTAACGAGATTGAAACAGTGATCAAAAACTTCCCAAAAAACAATAGTCCAGGGCCTGAGAGATTCCCTGGGAATTCCACCAAACATTCAAAGAAGAAATAATGTCTATTCTCCTGAAGCTGTTTCAAAAAAGAGAAACAGAAGGAAAGCTTTCAGACTCATTCTATGAGTCCAGCATTACCTTAATCCCCAAACCAGGCAAAGATGCCATCAAAATGGAGACTTACAGACCAATATCCCTGATGAATATGGATTCCAAAATTCTCAACCAAATCCTACCAATAGGATCCAACAATACATTAAAAGGATCATCCACACTACCAAGTGGGATTTATCCCTGGGATGCTAGGTGGTTCAACATTCACAAATCAATCAATGTGAAGGAGTACATTAATAAGAGGAGAGAGAAGAACTATATGGTCCTCTCAATTGATGCAGAAAAAGCATTTGACCAAATATAGCATCGCTTCCTGATTAAAACTCTTCAGAATATAGGGATAGAGGGAACATTCCTCAAGTTCATAAAATCCATCTATAGAAAACCCACAGCGAATATCATCCTCAATGGGGAAAAGATGAGAACACTTCTTTTAAGATCAGGAACACGTCAAGGATGCCCATCCTTGCCACTATTGTTCAACATAGTACTAAAAGCCCTAGCAACAGCAATCAGATAACAAAAAGAAATCAAAGGTATTCAAATTGGCAAAGTCAAACTCTCTCTCTCTTTGCAGATGACATGATACTTTATGTGGAAAATCCAAAAGACTCCATCCCCAAATTACTAGAACTCATCCAGCAATTCAGTAGTGTGGCAGGATCCATATATACAATGGAATATTACTCAGCCATCAGAAATGATGAATATCCAACTTTTACATCAACATGGATGGGACTGGAGGAGATTATGCTAAGTGAAATAAGCAAAGAAAGTCAATTATCATATGGTTTCACTTATTTGTGGAACATAAGGAATAGCATGGAAGACATTAGGAGAAGGAAGGGAAAAATGAAGGGGGGCGGGAATCGGAGGGGGAGACGAACCATGAGAGACTATGGACTCTGAACAAACGGAGGGTTTTAGAGGGAGGGGGTGGGGGGATGGGTTAGCCCAGTGATGGGTATTAAGGAGGGCATGTACTGCATGGAGCACTAGGTGTTATACAAAAACAATGAATCGTGGATCACCACATGAAAAACTAATGATGTATGGTGACTAACATAACATAATAAAATAAAATTTAAAAAGAAGCAAAAAAAAAAAAACTAATGATGTACTATATGGCGACTAACATAACACTTTAAAATAAAATAAAATTAAAAAGAACCAGAAAAAAATAACTTCTTGAATGAATAAGTTGTTTTCTAGGAAATTAAAAAAGAATAAAGTATCATGCAAAATATTATATTGAGAATCTTTCCTAATTAGGAGGCAAAAGTAATTCTCTCAAATGATTATGGCCCCCAAAACTGTTTTATAATTAGAAGAATATCAATATTCTTAATTAATTTTACCTAGTTAGCACAATTTTTTTAAAGATTTTATTTATTAATTTGAGACACAGAGATACAGAGAGCGAGCAAGCATGAGCAGGGGGGGAGACAGAGGGAGAGGGAGAAGCAGACTCCTGCTAAGCCAGGAGCCCGATGTGGGGCTTGATCCCAGGACCCTGGAATCATGACCTGAGCCGAAGGCAGACGCTTAACCATCTGAGCCACCCAGGCACCCCTAGTTAGCACAATTCTTATATAAATTTTGATGCTGATAGTGCTATAAAAGTATTTATGTATTATAAAATATGAACTTTTAAAACATAAAAGCATATGCAACCCAAAATCACAATCAAAATTGGCTTATCCTAGAAATGCAAGATATTTTAATTTTTGGAATTTATTGATATATACAATCAAATTATTATGTCAAGAGGAGAATAGATGAAATTGTCAATACAGCTGATAAAATGAAACAAAATTCAAAACCATTTCTGATTTTTGAAAATATTATATAATAAAAAGAAAATTTAAAAAACACTCCATATTCTGCTATACTGTCTGTCTACTCTAGTTTCTTAAACTACTAAAGAATAAACAATAAACAATGAAGAGAAGAGTAAAACAATCTGAAATAGTTCACAAAATTGAAAATGTAAATAATAAACACAAAAAAAGTTTTTTCTCCATCAAATAAAAAAAAGTAAAATAATATAAAGTTCTCATAAATTGGGGTGCCTGGGTGGTTCAGTTGGTTAAGCGACTGCCTTCGGCTCAGGTCATGATCCCGGAATCCTGGATTGAGTCCCATATCAGGCTCCCTGCTCCGTGGGAAGCCTGCCTCTCCCTCTGACCCTACCCCGTCTTGTGCTCTCTCTCTCTCTCTCTAATAAGTAAATAAAATCTTTTAAAAGAGAGTTCTCAAATTAGTAATTTAACATTACAAAAGAAGGTATAAAATTAATAGATGATAGAAACATGCATTATTCATGTGTGGTTTGGCTTTTAGGATATAAGAAATCCATGCACTATTGAAAATAAATATATTTGTAATGGAAATTAGTAAAAAAAAAATCAGAAGTGTTATCTGTTAATATATCTCAAGAATTTCTAAACAGTCTGCATTATTTTGCATGGTAATTACACTTCTAAAAATATGTCCTGAGGAAATAGTGTTGATTTTCTGTAAAGATTTATTTATAGTAATGTTTATAATCCATATGAGTGAATTCTAAAACTAAATAAAAGTAAATACAAGGCTGTGTCAGGTGATGTTAGCTCCTTATCTAAAAGTTATTGCCCAGTTTCTTATTTACTAATAGCACATTGATTTCATTCTCAGTTGCAAGGTGACCAGTCTCAAGAACTGATGCTTGATTGGCCTTAGTTAATTATGGCAATCCCATTCCCATTTGCCAGGTATTAATTTCCTAACCTTTCTTGAAGTTTAGAAATACAGCAGTCAATTTGCACACATAAGATATAAGGGGGAATCTGCTGAGGAGCTTCTAGGAAAATACTTCTAGGAAGTATTCTAAGAAAATACTTCTTCCCTAATAAAAGTCAAGGTACTTTGTCCCTGCCCCTTCTTCCTGACTTTGACTATGCTGTGAAGATGTGATGCTTTGAGTTGTGGCAACCAAAAGGACACAAGCATGAAGACAAAACAAGATAACCGAAGAATAAAAAGAGCCTGGGTCCTTGACAACATTGTTGATCAGCTCAACCAACCACAGTCTCCTGACCTCTAAACTTCATTACATAAATAAATGTGTTTATGGTTCAAGTCACTGCTGCTTTATGTTACTTTTAATTTAGCACATCCTAATTGAGTCAGAGTTAAACTAATTTCCCCACAGCAAAGCTGAGGCTCAAACCCTTGTTTATCTGGCTCATGTTTATTTTTACTGAACCATTTTGACTTTGGGAAAGTCATGCATCCTCTCCGAGTCTTAGTTTCCTAATCTAAAATGGCGTTCTTAATACCTCCTTGGTGGGACTAAGAGCCAAATTAGATAATCTACATGAAAGTCCTTTACAAGGTACAGACTGCTATACAAGTACAATCTGTTTACATATAAAGTTTTTGCAGGAACACAACATTGCAACTCATTCATTGTCTCTGAGCTTTCTAGTGGTGCTGAAATACACAAATGTACATTTCATCATGGATCATGTTTTAAGAGTTTGGTAACAGCAGTTTGATACATAGAAAGACCTATTTTTCTCCCTTGGAGAAGTTCAGGTTTGTAAACATGGATGGCTTTAAACATAATAGTCATGTACATGATAGAAACATTTGTAAGAGATTGTTCTTAATGAGAGTGCCAAGACTTTTTAACATGAAGATCAATGTAATACTGAAAATAGATTATGTTAAGCCAAGCAGTTTAGTCCATCAGGTCCATCCCAATGCCCAACATGATCTAACCTCTGATGACCTTTCCTGGGTCCTGGGATTCCTTATCAACCATGTGGACACTCCCCTGTGGTACAGAATGTTACACATAAGGAGTTAAAATTAGAGTTGGTGCTTGCATTTGTTGGTGTCTCTGGGACTTTGTGAAATAGAGAGATAGGAATGTGGGCTAAATAACTGCTATATTTTATTTTACTTATAGGATCATGTCACTCTTCTATTCAAAACCCCCCAAAGGTTCCCTGGTGTACTTAGGGAAAAAATGAAAACTTTTCATCATAGATTTTAAGACTCCACATAGTTTGGCCCATACCTCCTTCTATGACCTCATTGTGTACCATTCTCTATTTCACTTAACATACATCAGCTGCACTAAGCTTCTTCTTCTTCCTTGTATATGCCTAATTCATTCCCACCTTGGGACTCTGTACTAGCTATATTCTGTCCCTAGAAGACACCTCCTTAGAGAGGCCTTCCTCCGCTACCTGATCTAAAGTAGCTCTGTAACAGATCAGACCTAACATCTGGCTCCCGAATCCCAAGTGGGTGGACCCTAATTTTGTTGACAGATTTCCCTAATGCTAAATAGTCTTCCTAGGCCTCTGCATTCCTTATTTCCTCTTGATATATGCCATTATCTCATGGAACCCTCCCCTGACCCTGATCCTGTCAGGTGGGCTTTTTGTTGGCACTGTCACTGCTATTATCATAATCTTTGGATTCCATGTTTTGCCTGCTAGACTGGATTAGACACAGGTGGGGTTGACTCTCTTAATCTTGGACCCACTCAGTTGTGAGGCTGGTTCCTAGAATGTGACAGAAATAAGTATCCTGACCAGAGGTACTTACCTTGGAGAGTTCTTGTCCAGGCCCACACAGTTGGCAGGTGACACACTGTCCCCATTGGTCCCAGTACTCATTTTCTTGGCAATCCATGGTGGGAAGGCTGTGGGTACATAACACAAAAACTAGGGAGCTAGTGAAAATGGAAAGTGGTGGCTTGGTTTATGGGTCACTTGGTTTATGGGTCCACTTAATATAGTCTCTGGCTCTGAGTTACAGGGGTTGAGGAAGCCAATCCAAAACAGCTAATGCTTATATAGCCCTGGCCATGTGCCCAGAGCTCTTTTAAATGCTTTATATTTAAAAATAATTCATTGAATACTTTACACCACCATATCAGACATTATTATTATCCTTAACTTACATATGAGGAAACTGAGGCACAGAGGCCAAAAATTTGCCAAAGTTCACACAGTTACTTGTTGTACCACTTGCTGACCTGGAAAGAGAGTAAGACAAGGAGCTAGCTTCCGTCTGGGTGGGTAGAGGATAACCACAATTTTTCACATGTGACCAGCTATTAACAGTTTAGAAAGCACTTTCACATCCATTATTATTTGATCCACACAATAACCATGAGAGGTAAGCACTATAGGGATTATTGTCATTGTTTGGGTGGATAAGAAAACTGAAACATGGTTTTCTTTTGCCAAAACTGTCTTGAATACCTTTGAGGGCCACTAGCTGTCATTGCTTCTGCCCTAGGGAAGAGTGGGAGGGGAGGTGACCCACCATGGAGAAATATCCTGGTACACTAAGGTGTAGAGAAGAAGAAACACTACTCAGATAACAGTTCTCAGAATACACATGGCATAGGGCAGTATCACTAGCATTGACCTGAGAGCTGGGAAATAGAGTTTAATCCTGGGTATAGGGTAACCAATTATCCAGGTTTGCTCAGAACTAAGAGGCTTCCCCAGCATATGGGGTTTTCAGTACTAAAACTGGGACAGTTTCAGGCAAACTGGATTAGTTGTTCAACTTACCTAACTCTTCTTCTTTTAACCTATGCCCTTGGATGAGTCACTTTATCTTTTCTGGCCATAGTTACTTAATTTGAAAAAAGGGGACAGTATGTTTCTCACCTACCTTATATAGTTCTTGGGAGGATTAAATGAGCTATAAGGTCCATCAAACCATTACAAAGACTTGAAAAAGCTACACAAAATAAGACAGAGTTAAGTACAAAGTTTTCTACAAAGATGAATTTAATGAGGGAGACTCAAGTAATTGATACACATGACTTGCACTATTCAAAGACAAAGGTGGTGTGAGATTCTTTTGCTTGTTCCTTAACCTCATACCAAGGTGAACTTCAGGTGGCTATTCAAAGTGCTGAAAATCCTAAGTATGTATGTTGGAAGAGAGGAGAGTGAATGTGAACCCTGAGAGGCCATCACTCTTCCCCTCAAAAGTCCCCAGTGGTGTTAGGGTGAATCATCCTGGCTGGCGTTCTTGCTTGAATGTGTCTTTTCTCACCATCAACTGGAGCATTCTTCCTCATTCCTTCATTCAGAAGAAAGTGGGCTACAAAATTCATTTTTGCACAAACTAAAAATGTTACCTCTTGTGTTGTTTCAATTACTGGCCCATAGTTGTCAGCCTCAATAAACATAGTCCCCTCCATACCTACCCTTCTTAGTAAGGACCAAAACTATCAGTGGCCCCATAGGCCTTATGACAAGGGAATTAAGTGTCATGGGCACAGAGCCAGCATACTGGTCTGGACAACTACCCTGTATCTTTTTCTTACCCACAAAAGCAGAAAAACATTGTCAGAAGCCAAAGAGTAGCCCTGCCCTTGAGATAAGCTCCTGACATAGGCATCTGAAATCTCCACAGCAGCTGCTTCTAGCCTCTGGGTGTCCAAAACACTCTGTTTTGTTTGACTTCCAGACCCCCATTTATCTAATAAATGTTATTTGTCATGAATCTTAACACATCCCTCTAACACAGGCTTTGAGACATATGTTTAGGCAAGACAGGCTTATTACTAAATCCTCATAGCAGAATCCAGGGAATGAACAGACAGTTTTCCCCCACCCCCCGTTTTTGTCAAACTGCTTATAATACAAAATAAATTGTCTCTCATTATAAGCTTAACAAATTGTCTTTATTACAGAGAACAAAATAACATAGACTCTGGACTGTTTTGAAGTCAGGGCATACAGGAAAACTGTTTAATAATGGTTAAATGTTATTATCCAGGGGCAAACTCAGAAGTTATGTCAAATTCGTCCCTGTGGTCATCAGTTGTCCTCTGGCAGATGTAATTGCCTTTTTATTGTAAGAGAAGGTGAGAGATAATAATTAGGTTTTGAGAAAATTAGGGTTACTCTGAGGTGTCTCATAACTACATCTAGACACACTTCTAAAATGTCACAGAGGATGAGACTGAATCATCCAAAATCAAGTGGACAGGCCTATAAAATTTTTACATATGTATATAATCACATAAACACTATCCAAATAAAGATGCAGAATCTTTTCATTACCTCAACTGGCTGTCTCATGGCCCTTCCTAGTCAGTACCATCCCCTTCTCCCAAGTAATTTATATTTTGGCTTCTGTCACCATTATTAGTTTTATCTGTCCTTGAACTTCACATAAATTGAATTAATACAAGAACATCCTTGTTTCTGGCTTTCTTAGCTCAATGTTATTTCTGTGAGATTCATCCATCATGTGTGCAGCAACATTTGTCCCTTACCATTGTTGTTTAGCATCCCATTATATGTATATGCCATAATTTATTTATACTTTTTTTTTTTTTGGTTAATGGACATTGGGCTTTTTCCAATTTGTGGCCATTATAAATAAAGTTGTTATGCTATGGTCAATTGATTTTCAAAAAGAGTGCTAAGGCAATTTAATGGGAAAAGAACAGCTTTTTTTTTTTAAAGGTGTTGTGACAAATGGTTCACATGAAAAATGATCAAATTGGATACTTCATACTATATGCAAAATTAACTCAAAATGGACCAAAGCCCCAAATGTAAGGGACAAAACTATAAAACTCTTATTTATAAGAATTTTCTTTATAAGAAATCTTTTTTTATAATTTTTCATTTTTCTTATAAAAATATAGGTGTAAATATGTGACCTTGGACTAGGCAATGTTTTTTTGTTTGTTTGTTTTGTTTGTTTGTTTTTTTAGATATAGCACTAAAAGCACAAGCAACAAAAGAAAAAATAGACAAATTGTATTTAATGAAAATGTAAAATTTTTGTGCTTCAAAGGACGCTTAAAAAATAAAAAGACAGGGCGCCTGGGTGGCTCAGTTGGTTAAGCGACTGCCTTCGGCTCAGGTCATGATCCTGGAGTCCTGGGATCGAGTCCCGCATCGGGCTCCCTGCTCAGCGGGGGGTCTGCTTCCCCCTCTGCCCTCTTCCCTCTCGTGCTGTCTCTCATTCTCTTTCTCTCAAATAAATAAATAAAATCTTTAAAAAAAAATAAAAAATAAAAAAATAAAAAGACAATCTATGTAAATGGTGAAAAACCCTGAAAATTCTAGAGATCTGATAAAATACTTATATGTAGAATATATAGTTATGTCTGACAACTCAGAAATAAAGACAACCCAATTAAAAATGGGCAAAGTAGGGGTGCCTGGGTAGCTCAGTCAGTTAAGCATCCAGCTCTTGGTTTTGGCTCAGGTCGTGATCTCAGAGTTTTGGTACTGAGCCTTGAGTAGGGTTCCACGCTCAGTGGGGAGTCTGCTTGAGGAAAAAGGAATCTACTCCTCTCCCCCGCTCAACCTCTCAATTTCTCAATCTCTCTCTCTCTAAAATAAATTAAAAATAAATAAATAAATAAAATCTTTTTTTAATGGGCAGAGTATCTGAATATACATCACCCCAAGAAGATATACAAATGGCCAATAAGCACATGAAAAAAATGTTCAACATTATTAGCAATTAGGGGAATGCAAATCAAAATCACAATCACAATGAAATCCCACTTCACATTCACTAAGGTGGCTGTAATAAAAAATAAGGGAGGTAAGTGAGTGTTGGCAAGGATGTGGAGAAACTGGAACCCTCATATATTGCTGGAGAATTGGGACTGCTTTATGTTTTCCAACTGATCTATAAGGTATCTTTTTATTCCTGCTTTAGTGGGTTAAAGTTTAACTCAGACAAGTAAAAAGGTGAAATAACTGGCTGCTGGGTCCTTGCATGTGGTAACCAACTGCTAGAAGCCTAAAAGAATCAAAGGTCTGCCACAATCTCTCTTTATCAGATTTCTTACTCAGTAATTCATATACTCATTAGCCCTATGCTCTCAGATGATATATTTTGTTTAGACCTATTTTGCTCCAGAACTCTTAAGCCTACACAAAGTAACTGGAATATCTATTAATAATTTTATTCTGAGTCAAAACATTTTAACTAGCTAATCAGTTGATAATTTAACTTTTTTCTTTTTACTCATCAGCTACAAGCAAAATCTTGTAGTTTTTAATCTTAAACACTGAAGGGTGCCTGGGTGGCTCAGATGGTTAGGCGTCTGCCTTCAGCTCGGGTTGTGATCCCAGGGTCCTGGGATTGAGTCTTGCATCAGGCTTCCTGCTCCTTGGGGAGCCTGCTTCTCCCTCTGCCTCTCTCTCTCTCTCTCCCTCTGTCTCTCATGAATAAATAAATAAAATCTTTAAAAAAAATCTTAAACACTGAATAAAAAAAGTCTTTTCCAAAAAATTTGTAACAAATATAATGCAAAATGTAATGTAAAAAAGAACATGAAGTTGTACAGTCCTTCTGAAAAATGTTTTTACAGTTCCTCAAAATGTTAAGCATAGAGTTACCATGTGACCCAGAAATTCCACCCATAGGTATATACCCAAAATAATTGAAAGTATATATCCACGTAAAAATTTGTACACGGGTGCCTGGGTGGCTCAGTCATTAAGCATCTGCCTTCGGCTCAGGTCATGATCCCAGGGTCCTAGGATCAAGCCCCACATCTGGCTCCCTGCTCAGTGGGAAGCCTGTTTCTCCCTCTCTCACTCCCCCTGCTTGTGTTCCCTCTCTCGCCGGGTCTCTCTCTCTGTCAAATAAATAAATACTTTAAAATAATTTGTACACAAATGTTCCTAGTATCTCATAATAGCCAAAATGTAGAAACAATCTGAATGTCCATCTCTAACCACACAACAAAATATTATTCAGCCGCAAAAAGGAATGAGGTACTTGAGACGTGCTACAACATGGATAAATCTTGAAAACATTATGCTAAGCCAGGCACAAAAAAAGAAATATTGTATGATTACATTTACATGAAATACCAGAATAGACAATTTATAGAGACAGAAAGTAGACTAGTAGTTGCCACGGGCTGGGGCAAAGAGAGAATGGGGAATGACTGTTTAATGGGTAAGCTTCATTTTGGGGTGATGAACTGGTCTAGAACTAGTCATGATGGTTGCACAACTTTGTGAA